TAATCTGAGGGAGATTAGAGACTGTAAAGTGGTGGCAGGTGAGAGGGTAGCCAAACAACATCGGATGGTAGTGTGCAAGATGACGATGAAGGTGAAAAAAAGGAAGAGAGTGAAGACAGAGCAGAAGATCAAATGGTAAAAACTAAGGAAAGATAAATGTTGTGAAGACTTCAGGAAGGAAATAGGGGCATTTCTGGGCCGTGTTGATGAATTCCCAGATGATTGGGAGCTGCAGCTGCAGTGATTAGGGAGACAGGTAGGAAGGTGCTAGGTATGTCCTCTGGGCAGACAAAGGAAGACAAAGGGACCTGGTGGTGGAATGATGAGGTCCAGGAGAGTGTACAGAGAAAGAGATTAGCAAAGAAGAGATGGGACAGTGAGAGAACAGAAGAGAACAGACTGGAGTACAAATAGACGACAAGGGAGGTGAAGAGGGAAGTAGCCAAGGCCAAACAAAAGGCATATGAGGAGTTGTACGAGAGTTTGGACACAAAGGAAGGAGAAAAGGAATTGTATAGATTGGCGAGGCAGCGAAATCAAGCTGGGAAGGATGTGCAGCAGGTGAGGTTGATTAAGGACAGAGATGGGAACGTAATCACAATTGAGGAAACTGTGCTGAAAAGATGGAAGGAATACTTTGAGGAGTTGTTGAATGAGGAAAATGAAAGGGAACATAGGAATGAGGAACCAGAGACTATTAGGAGGAAGGTAGATCAGGTAAGGAAGGATGAAGTTAGCAAAGCCCTAAAGAGGATGAAGAGTGAAAAGGCGGTAGATTTCCTGACTGGGTTGTTCAATAGAATTTTAGAGACTGACAAGATGTCTAATGAGTGGAGGAAAAGTGTTCTGGTACCAATTTATAAGAAGGGTGATGCACAGAGTTGTAACAACTATCCATCCATCCATCCATTTTCTTCCACTTATCCATTACCAGGTCACGGGGGCAGCAGTCGCCACCCAAATCACATTGCACCGCACAAACCCCCCAAACCTTCCTGCAGGTGGTGAGGTAGGTAGGTACCAACTGCGAACTTGCCCAGGAGGTGAACCCTGGGGTTCCACACCAATGACAGAGACATTGCCTCTGGGCCAAACCGCCACTTGTAACAACTACAGAGGGATAAAGTTGATGAGGCATACAATGACGATTTGACGTTTTAGAATATTTTCAAAATTATGAATGTCGCTTATATTTTCAAATTTACAAAAACAGCATCAGCCATGCTCTCTTTGGAAATAATGAACAAAAGACTCAAAATAGTGATATCCATTCGAACAAAATTGGATTAAGTGATTAATCTCAGACTCAGTGTTGTCTATTGTTATACCTGTCTCTCACAGAACATGGCCGGCCATTTTGCCATAACATCCCCGATGAGAGGTTGATCCCCACAATCTCCTTTCTGCGCTTGGAAAACGTGGCAGACATTAACTCATCTATCTGCTTGTGATCTGGGTCTTTTTTCAGTACTTCCACCTGAATTGAATTGCACAAAGGACACATAGTAAGACAAAATAGCAGGCTTCACAGACACAAGAGCAAAGTGTAGGTAGTCAGTATACTACAGGCAGGTGTGTATGCAGTAATATTACACAGGAATTATGTGCATATGTGTGTATGATGTACCTGAATCATCAACTGCTTTCTTCCATGTCTTCAACACTCAGTCCTTCTGAGGGATCTGGACAGTAGTGTAGCTCACAATAACAAAGTTGTAACACATAAAAACCAACTAGGTTCGTAAAACTAAAGATAAATGTCTGCAAATGTATAGTATTAATCTGTTTTTTAATATACTAATTCTCTAAAATGACCATTAGAGCATTAGTCCAGTTTAAATTGTTTTTAAAATATTAAAATGTTTAATATATTTAAAGTTTTAAATAGTGTAGTGGCGTGACCCGTCGGATCCCCGATTAGCGTCAACTGGTCACCCGGGGTACTGCTGCTGCACACGCTTCGCCTCCTCCCCTCTTCCACGGTGCCTGCGAGAAGCCGTGGAAGCTAAGTTGCTAATTGCTAACTGGCTTCTTCGTGCCCAGCTTTCGGCGCACGCGCATCAGGCATGTTGGTTTATCGGGTCTTTTGATTTATGTAATTATAATGTCGCTACGTGACGTATGGAGGACCGTTCGGGGACTGTTTACACAAGTGCATTTTCTGTCCGATTGTTAGACTGCATTGGTAGAAGAATGTTAGAGATGGAGCTACCAGGTAGGAGACAAAGAGGAAGGCCAAAGAGGAGATATATGGATGCAGTGAGGGAGGACATGCAGATAGTTGGAGTAGAAGTACTCCAACTATCAGTAGAGTAGAAGATGCAGAGAACAGGGAGAGATGGAAATCAATGACTCGCTGTGGCAACCCCTGAAAAAGGGACAAGCCGTAAGAAAAAGAAGAAAAGAAGATTTAACAAAAAAACAACAGCTAAGAAATCATTATTTTTGCCTCTGTCTTTCTGAGTACAATGCTGTGTGTTTGATGTCAAGGGCATGTGTGTTTGTGAGTTTGCATGTGTGCTCTTTCTCTCCTTGTGTAACCAACAGTTCGGTGCCTGGAGTCAGTGCGTGCTTTAAAAGGACTCTTTCACACATGAATTCATCACATCTGTCTGCTCAGGTCTTCCATGACATTGCCTACAAAGCCAAGGACAGACAGGACCTGCTGGCTGGTATTGATGAGTTCCTGGATAAGGTGATTGTGCTTCCTCCTGGAGAGTGGGACCTACCATCAGGATAGAACCTCCAAAGTCTTTGGAGTCTCTGACAAAAGGTTTTTTTTTTAAAGTTACAGTACCACCATTGTTTTATCAGACAGATAGGAAAAAATGGCTTTTTTGTGTTTGTCCTATTGACAAAGATGTGTTGTACCCTTCCAATCAGTCAATTAATCCATCAATCAAATATACAAATAAAACCACTAACACATAAACATACATATATAGTTTTTTGTTTATTTTCCATCCATCCATCCATCCATTTTCATCCGCTTATCTGTTACCGGGTCGCCGGGGTAGCAGTCGCTACCCAAATCACATTGCACCGTACCAAACCCCCAAACCTTCCTGCGGGTGGTGAGTCCACTGGAAGGTACCAACCGCCCTAACCGGGATTCGAACTTGCCCAGGAGGTGAACCCTGGGGTTCCACACCAATGACAGAGACATTGCCTCTGGGCCAAAGCGCCACTTTTGTTTATTTTTTCTTTCTTAAATAGAATGACTTATTGAGAAGGGTTAGAAAGCAGAAAACCTAAAGGTTACTCCTTGTCTGCCTTATAAAGGAAGGTTTTCTTGTGCTGACCTTTTCTGAAAGAACACAAGTGTTCACTCATTTAACAGGGGCCTTAGGCTGTAGGAGAGTCTGTCAGTAATTTTCACACACACACAAACACATACACACACACAACCCGAGAGAGCTGTGTTATTGATGAGTTTAAAAATATAAAAAAGGTGGTTAACTCAATCGCTGTGTCAGCGATAACAACACCACTGTGGTCACAGAATCACTTAAGTGTGTTCAGGTTGAGAGCAAATTAATGAATTATAAAGAAGGTGGCATATAACATTATTAACAGAACAAGCAACTACTTACTTTCATGGCAACTTGAAGCCCCCAAAAAATATGTTTGTTACCTGTGTTCTTTAGAAAAAACATGTATGTAGGGGACCCTCAGATGAACGGAGACATACCTCATGATGGAGGCCATGGTGGAGGAGGAGGAAATGCTGTAGGAGATGAGCTGAAGAAGACAGGAAGGTATTTATAATAACAATAATAATAATGCCACCACAAATGTTTTTAAAGATAAGCAGTTTTTTTCTTGAAAAACAGACAGAACAATTTAATACTCTTCCACGAGGAATCTTTGAAGAAGAGCTTTGTGTGTCCTTCTTCAAATCCTGAGGGTATATTGGCAACTAAACAGGCTCTGGTTGTACACTATGTAAAAAAACTTTGAATTTAAAGTTGTAGAATATTGTTGTATTTCACTATATATACTCATGGAGACATTTCTGTTTGGTGGTGTTTATTTAAATGTATTTTATTTTTCTGATCTTGTACAACTTTTTTGTGTAAAGTATTTCATATACTGCTTTAACAAACCTCATTCATTTTTCTTGTTCATATTTTTTTAGATTTTGTGGGGGCCTCGTACTTGACATCAATAGAAAAGTGCCTTTTTTCAGTGACTTCACTGATGCGATTCACATTCAGGCTCTTTCTGCCATTCTGTTCATTTACTTGGGAACTGTGACAAACGCTATTACCTTTGGTGGCCTGCTGAGCGACTCTACAGAAAACATGCAGGTCAGACTGAGCATCAAGTTTTCTTTTATCAGTCTGCAGTATTAGCTGTGTTTCCTTAGAGTGACTGTTTCCCTCTGGTCCAGGGGGTGTTGGAGAGTTTTCTTGGAACAGCCATTGCTGGAGGAGTCTTCTGTCTGTTTGCTGGTCAACCTCTAACCATCCTCAGCAGTACCGGTCCAGTTCTGGTGTTTGAACGACTGCTTTTTAATTTAAGCAGGTTCATTCTTGAGTTTTCATTTTAATTTTCTCTTGTTACTTTTAGTAGTTTAGTTTAATCGTTTAGGTGGAGCTTTGGCCCAGAGGCAATTTCTCTGTCATTGGTGTGGAACCCCAGGGTTCACCTCCTGGGTCAGTACATAACCACACAGTTATGTACTGACCTCCCGGTTAGGGCGGTTGGCGCCTTCCAGTGGGCTCACCACCCACAGGATGGTTCAGGTGGGTTGGTACGGTGCAGTGGGATTTGGGTGGAGACTGCTGCCCCAACGACTCGGTAACAGATAAGTGGATGAAAATGGATGGATGGATGGGTTTAATCGTTGAGTATTTTAAGTTGAAAATGCGTCTGGAAATACGAAAAGCCATTGTGAGAACAGGGGATACTAATACACTGATAACATTTTCATGACTGCATTGTTCTGCAACCCAGTCACAGAGATAACGGCTTTGACTACCTGGAGTTCCGGCTGTGGATTGGTCTGTGGTCAGCGTTTTTCTGCCTGATTCTGGTGGCCACTGATGCCAGCTTCCTGGTTCAGTACTTCACCCGGTTCACAGAGGAAGGCTTGGCTTGTCTCATCAGTTTCATCTTCTACAATGCCTTCAAGAAGATGCTGAAGCTGGCTCACCACTACCCCATCGATTCTGGACACGACATGGATTACGTCACGCAGTACGACTGTATGTGTATGGCCCCCACTGTTTTTGGTAAGTATTTTGTTACCTTATAATTTCAACTTGGACAGTACAAATACTGCAAATAATAGAAAGGCAACTTTAATGTTTCCATTATTGCTTACTTACTTACTTAACTAATATTTTAACTTAACTAATTTTTTCTCCAGTATAAAACCCTAGTGTGTTCTGGCAATATAAACTAGTCTAACTAACTATGTCATTCCAGGATGTAATGTATATACTGTATGTTATATATATTTATGACTTTCAGTTTATATTTTGTTAAACCTACCACAGTAACTGTGTGGTTATGTACTGAGTTTGACTGTACTGGTGTCTTGGGAGTAAATTCTACAGATGATTCTTTAAAAAGTCCTTCAGCCTGGTCCTGAAACAACACTGTGCTGGTGAGTGTTCACACACACACACACACACATTTTTTGGTTACACATATAAAATTGACTTGACTTACCCTGACTTGACTTGTCTTGACTGGACTGGTAGTGACTACTCAGTGATTTAACATAGTCCCAGGACCTTTGGTGATGTAGCCTGACCCCAACTGATCAAACTGACCAAAATAATAAAAAACATATCTTATTCCAACCACTGACTGAAAATGTCTCGTTGGTGGGCCGGATCCAAACTGCGGGCCTTGAGTTTGACATACTGAATGGACTCAAACAGAAGGACTTTGGCCTGAGTGGCTCTAATATCTTTGACAAGGCTAAAGCAAATGAGCCACAAATCTCACAAGGACAAATACTAATGAGATAAAAGTTCAGTTTCCAGTGATAGTGTATAGATTGTTTAGTAGTCATGCTTCCGACTTGAGGTTTCTGTGACCCATTCTGATTGTTAATCTGTTCCTCTTCACTCCAGACGATGGGAGTGGTGTACAAGGTAGTTGATCAGTTTAAGATGTAATAAAAATCTGTTCATTTACTATCGCTGTCCTGCTTTGTTTCCTCTCTGCAGCCAATAAACAACCCACGGTCATCGCTATCGAAAACCGAGTGCCTGAAGTACAGCGGGGTGCTGGTGGGTAAGGCCTGTCATTTTGTCCCAGACATCACCCTCATGTCCTTCATCCTCTTATTTGGCACTTACACCTGCTCCATGACCCTGAGAAAGTTCAAGACCAGTCCGTTCTTCCCCACCACTGTGAGTGCCTGACACACTGAGCTCAATAACGAAACCCAACAAGACCCGTAAAGAAAACATATGGGTTTTTGTCATAATGTTTGTCCACCTGTGTGTGAAACGCTAATCCATGCAGACTCTCTGTTTACTTTGAACCAGGTGAGGAAACTCATCAGTGACTTCGCCATCATTTTGACCATCCTCATCTTCTGTGGAGTGGACATTCTGGTGGGAGTGGACACTCCGAAACTAATTTTGCCGAGTGCATTCAAGGTAACCATTCCCTGCCTACAAGAATTTTGCTCTATTATTTATTTTTTAAGTTTTAAGTTTTTACAGTTTTAGAAAACACAAGACCATCTGGCCTAATGATCCCATGATGCAAAATTGATCATCGCATCCAATAATTTCATTTTGCTTTAGACTTACACTTCTTCGACGGTCCACTGACCAGACTACAAGCTTAGAGGGGGATCTGGAATGATAAGCATTTAAACATTAGACTAGTGTTTTTCAATCTTGGGGTCGGGGCCCCACGTGGGGTCGCCTGAAATGTCTAGTAAAAAAGTAAAATGCAGCATATAAAAATATCTGAGCTGTCAAAAAGAAAAGAATCTCTGGGGTCAAAATGGGGTTGCAGTAAAAAAAAAGATTGGGAACCACTGTATTAGACAGTACCCTTCACTGGCTGTTTTTGCTTAAAATGCACACCTTTTCAATTGCTTTAAGCAAGTCTATGAAGATTCTCAGTCATCCAGGTCATGGTAAGAGTTCTGTTAGGCAACTGGGTGTGAATTTTCTAAAAGAAGACGTTCACCTCTCATCCAAGAGGCTTCTTCAGTTCTAACTGGTGGTGGGAAGTACAGCAAAATATTTACTCTGAGTGTGAAAGAATAAAGCTACTTCAGCTCCCCACTGTTGGTTGGGGCCTTGGGGTCAACTGGGAAAGTGTAAACAGTCATTAAGAGTCTGATGGGTCGTTGTGGTCCTCATCATTCGGTCCCCTGCCTCTTTGTTATGTGAAACTGAGGAGAATCTTTTGGGTATTGTTCCTAAGAGTGCTTTGTATGTGGGTGGTAAGTTGTGTCTGAGTCCATCTCCTCTGTTGAGTGATGTTTTTTCCAGGTTGACAAAAATGGCTTCTTTTATCCCTCTCTCAAACCATCTGTCTTCCCTGGCCAAAATGTGAACATGGTTGTCCTCAAAGGAGTGTGTTTTGTCCTTGAGGTGTATGTGAACAGCTGAGTCCTGTCCTGAGGAGTTGGCCATCCTGTGTTGGGCCATGCGCCATGCGTCAGTACACTCTTCACTGTACTGAATGGCATAAACCACATTGTCCAGCTTGTTTCTTGGAGTCTTGTCTTTGGGATGAACCAGTTTTTGTCTTAGAGTGTTACCGGGTTTGAAGTGTACGGGGATCTGGTTAAAGTTTTAAGTTTTTCCGAAACTCCTGAAATGTATGGAATTATGACATTCCCCCTCCTGTTGTCCTCCCTCTTTGGGGGCCTCTTTTTGTTTGTTTTTAAAAAAGCCCATTTGGGATAGCCACAGGTCTTGAGAGCTGTCCTAATGTGTCCCTGTTCTCTCATCTTACCTCTGTTGGTGGTGGTAATGGTGTCTGCCCGTAACTGTGGGGTTCTGATGACTTAATTTGTGCTCCAGTGGGTGGTGTGAGTCAAAACGGAGGTACTGGTTGGTGTGGGTTGGTTTCCTGTACACCTCTATGTTGAGATGTCTGTCCTCTGTGATGTGAACCGCACAGTCCAGGAAAGCAAGGCTGTTGTTTTTCACATCTTCTCTGGTGAACTTGATGTTCCTGTCCACCGCATTGATATGGTCTGTGAAGTTGTTGACCTCATGTGACCCAAGTGTCGTCCACATATCGGAACCAGTAGCTGGGTAATATTCACACGTACGAGTGTAGAGCTCGGCTCTCCACTTCCTCCATGTAAAGATTCGCCACTATGGGAGACACAGGAGAGCCCATCGCGCAGCCATGCCTCTGTCTGTAGAAGGACTCGTTGAACTGGAAGTAAGCGGTGGTGAGGCAGAAATCTAGAAGGGCACAAAGGTGGTCAATGGTCAGGTTAGTTCTTACCGGCGGGGTGTGATCTTGTAGTAAGAACATCCTCACTGTTGCTACTGCCTCTGTGGTGGGGATGCGTGTAAAAAGTGATGTGACGTCGTAGGAGACCATGGTCTCATCCGTGTCCAGTTTTAGGCCCCTTATCTTGTTGGTGAAGTCCTGTAAGTTGGCTATGTGGTGAGGTGTGTCCCCAACCAATGGTGAAAGGATAAAGGCCAGGTGTTTGGCGATGTTACAAGTGACTGAATAGATGTTGCTGATAATGGGTCTCCATCCTTCTGGATTTTGGGGAGACCATAAATATGGGGAATGGCTTCTCCTGGATATAGCTGGTGGTACAGGTGGTACTATCGATGGCTTTATCCTTTTCCAGCTGTTGGAGGCAGCTGATGACCTTCTTTTTGTAGCTGCTGGTGGGATCTTTCCTCAGGGATTCATATGTGGCTGAGTCACTGAGAAGAGTTTTGACCTTAGCATGGTAGTCTGTTTTGTTTAAAACAACTGTGCACCTACTTTTGTCTTCTGGAAGGATGGTGATGTCTGGATCTCTTTGGAGTGCTACCAGCGCTTTCTTCTCAGGGAGGGACAGGTTTGAAGGGGGAGGTTTAGCACTGTAGAGTGCCGCGGTGACCTTCAACCTGAGCTGTTCGGCTTCCGTGGTGTTCAATGGGTTGTTTCTGACGGCTGTCTCAGTGGCTGTGCTGTCTCAGTGGTCCACGGTGGGGATGTGTGTTCTCCTGGGAGCCCTGCCGTGTAGTGTTGGAATCTCTGTTGTTTCTTGTAGATTCCGCTGTCTGTCTGGACTGGAGGATATGGAATTTATGTTTTTGTCGTTCCTTACCTTTGTTGTATTGGAACATCTGGGCCTTCTCGGCAAACTTGGAGACCTCATCCATGACGTTCCTGGGGAGTAGCATAGTTAATTGTTCTCCTACCTGGTCGAGGAGAAGATGGTTTGAGAGAGGGGTAAAAGAAGCCATTTTTGTCAACCTGGAAAAACCATCACTCAACAGAGGAGGTGGACTCAGACACATTGGACATCACCCACATATAACGCACTCTTAGGAACAATACCCAAAAGATTCTCCTCAATTTCACATAACAAAGAGGCAGGTGACCCATCAGACTCTTAACGACTGTTTACACTTTCCCAGTTGATGCCAAGGCCCCACCCAACAGCTGAAATAGCTTCTTTCACACCCAGAGTAAATATTTTGCTGTACCAGTTAAAACTGAAGAAGCCTCTTGGATGAGAGGTGAGGCTTTTAGAAAATTCACGTCCAGTTGCCTAACAGAACTCATCAACCTTGCTTTAACCAAGTTTTTTTATGACTGTTTGTTTGATATTGTTTATATATATCTTCTATATCTTACTGATCATTACAATATATTCTACTTTATAGTTTTAGTTGCTTGACATTCGGGGGTGGGGGGTGGGGGGTGATACAAGTAAATCCTTATGTATTTTGAATATAAACTCTCTGTCCATGCCTGGTTACTAATGTTTCTCTTTTTCTCTTGAACAGCCAACAAGTCCAAAGCAGGGCTGGTTCGTGTCCCCTTTCGGAGGAAACCCCTGGTGGGTTTACCTAGCATCAGCCCTCCCTGCCCTACTGGTCACCATACTGATATTCATGGACCAACAGATAACTGCTGTGATCGTCAACAGAAAGGAGAACAAGCTGAAGGTGAAAGACCAATCCTAACATGTCCCAGACATGTCAGTGGATTTAGGGACAATGTCTAATTACAGTATATGATTTCAAGACGTTTCAATGCTCTGAAAAATGGACTAGAATTTGCAGGATATTTGAAGAATGCCCCTAATGTTAGAAATATTAAACTAATCAGGTAATCTGAAAAAGATTTAGCAGGTTAGAAAATTAAAAAAACACATACAGTATTATAGAACACGTCCAACGCTAACTCAAAATGTAACAATAAAAATTGTCAAATCTGAGAGGCTGTCTTAACAGCTTTAGTTTTTAAAGTCAGACAGCTTTTCTGACCTACCCTCATATACTTCACCATATGTTGCCCCCTCAGAAACCTCTGCCCTCTTCTTGCCACCACATAAATATTTTTTCTAGATCCCTGACTATTTGGCGGGACAGTAGTGAGACCTGCGAGACCTCAAAGTCAACCCTAGAGGGGTTAAAACTTTAAAACATGATGTTTTTCCTTCTTCTGTCTGCTGCAGCTTCACATTTAACTCACACATTCTTGAAAAATAAAAACATTGCTGTTGCAGATGAATGGTGAAACGTCCCTTTTCTCCTTTGTCTTTATTACGATGTGAGGATTTTTATGTTTGTCTAACCATAAATGGCAGCCACTACAGGGACAGGCTTCCTACACACTGTAGTTAAATATGACTGGCACTTCTCAGGAAGGTGACAAATGTTACGTGATGAGCGGTGATTTATCTGACTGCAGACCTCTGACTCCTTTGCTTTTTGAACACAATCAATCTTTTCAGAGAAGTGTGCAGCAGTGCAGCACAGTCTGTTTCTCACAGTATTATTATCACCCTCAGGAGTATAGAACAAGGCCAATGGATTTCAATGTCATTGTTCTCTTTGTGCCAAGATTGACAAATGGCACTAAATGATCATTTTATTTCTTTTATTCAGTTAGAATAGCATTTTTTTGGAATAAAAATGGTACACTAATTCCAGTCAAGTTTAGAAAGAACAGCTGTCAATGTGTCAACATAGGGGCAGGACAATAGTCCTATCTACAAAAGGGGGTGCTAAGTCATAAATAAAATAGAAATGGAAATAACATTAGTTGGCTTTTCTCTCTTTACTAGAAAGGAGCAGGTTACCACCTGGACCTGTTCTCGGTGGCTGTCTTGATGGTGGTCTGCTCCTTCATGGGTCTGCCCTGGTATGTAGCTGCCACCATCATATATATTGCTCACATCGACAGTTTAAAAATAGAGACGGAAACATCAGCTCCCGGAGAGCAGCCAAAATTCCTGGGTGTGAGGTAAAAATACGATCTATTTTTTTTTCTTTTTTATTCTGAAAAAAAAACATTAAAAAAAGCTCTTA